CACCCCACCCCAGGGATGGTCTGGGTGGGTGTTCCAGTCCCCAGCAGTAAATCCCCCCCAGCCCATGGGCTGGCAGCAGAGGCAGCTGGGAGTTAATGAAGTTGTCCATGGATGGTGACACAGCCCGGGCAGGGCCATCAGCTCCCCCATAAATCACCTCAGCTCTGTTCCTGAGCCTCAAGCACACAGAACAAACCTCTGCACTCGCTCCTGCCTGCCTTCCAGAGCAGAAAAGTGTTGTAGAACCATGGAATTGTGGAAGGACCTGAGCCAGACCCACAGGGATTGCTGGTCCTGCCCAGGACACCCCAACAACCCCAGCCCCTACCTGGGGACGTTCTCCAAACTCCCGGAGCTCCGGCAGCCGCGGGGCTGGGACCATCCCTGGGGAGCCTGGGCAGTGCCAGCACCCTCATTCCCTGATCTCCATCCCAAAATCCCCTGACTCAGCTCCAGCCAGGGCCCATCCCTGGCCCCCAGCCGTGTCAGGGATCTGCAGGGCCACACGGAGCAGCAGGCAGTGAGAGGAAAATGGAGCTGCTGCTGACAGGCTCCTGCTGGAGGAGATGCAGAGACCAAGGAAGGCTCCCCCAGAGTGTCTGAAATGGTGTCGTTTGTGTAAATTGGGAAGAGCATGAGTTATCCTCAGCTGATGGGAGCCAGCAGGATTTCACACCTCATGTCCCAGGGGAGCTGTGGGAACAGACACCTCCTGCAGCTGGGAGGGAGGGCTGGGATGCAGCTCCCACCCTGCCCTGCCCTGCCTGGAGAGAGGATTCCCGGGAAGGGAATCCTGGGGCAGCACCAGCCCGTCCTCACAGGCCTGCCCTGGTGGCCCCATCCACCTTCTCCTGCCAGGGAGGGCTGGGTGCATTCCAGGTTCTTCCCAGGCTCCCCAGGGAATGGTCCCAGCCCCGAGGCTGCCAGAGCTCCAGGAGCCTTTGGACACTCTGGGATGCCCAGGCTGGGATTGCTGGGGGGTCTGGGCAGGGCAGGGTGGCACTGGGTGATCTTGGTGGGCCCTTCCAACTCAGGGTATTCCACAATCCTGTGCTGGAGTCACAGAATCACAGAATCACCGAGGTTGGAAAAGAGCTCCAAGACCACTGAGAGCAGCTGTTCCCCCAGCACTGCCAAGGCCAGCACTGCCCGTGTCCCCAGGTGCCACACCCACACCATCCCACAATGATCCCATTTGCACTCGGTCTGAGCTCAAAAGGATGCGCTTCAGGAGGGAACCGAGGCAGTACTGCTTGTTCCAGAGCTGAGCTCCAGGTCACCATTCTGCTTATCCCAAAGGTGTCTGGTTTTGTCCCTGCTCTGCTCAGCTCCCTCAGCTTCATGGATGCACCAGAGCTGTGACCCCCGTGTGTCACCGCCCTGCTCCCAAAGCGTGTGCCAGGTCCCTCTGAGCACCTCTGGCTCTCCAGCTGTGCTCTCACACCCCGTGCAGGAGGCAGGGCTCACACCAGCCTCAGGATGAGCAGCAGCTGTTTGCACAGCTCTCACTGAGGTTTGGGATGGGATAAGAGCCACCACCTGCAGACCGTGACCTTCTGCTCCCACCGTGTAAATACCCTGCCATAAACTCACCGGGCTTGGCCTGGGTTAACAGAGCAAAGCCACAGCTCTCAGCAGAAAACAGCTGAAAGCCAGGAGGAATTTCCCCATGGGAAGGGCTGCCAGGCACTGGAAGGGGCTGCCCGGGGAGGTGATGGAATCCCCACCCCTGGAGGGCTTTGAAAGCTGTGTGGGTGTGGCACCTGGGGACACGGGGCACTGGTGGCCTTGGATGTCCTGGGGGAACAGCTGGAACCGATGGGCTCCGAGGGATTTTCCAACCCAAACAATTCCATGGTTTACTCTCTTCTCTCACCCACCTGTCTCATGTCTGCTTTTTCTCTTTTTGTTCTTTTTCTGAAGCAGAGGAAGAAGACGAAGAAGAAACAGAGAAGCTGCAGAACGGGAAGGACCGAGGTGAGGGGACAAAGCTGTCTGAGAGCTCTGCAGCATTTCCTGACTCACTCAGGGTTCTCTGGCTCCCTTTGCAGCCCCACCAGGGCCTCTGGGTGCAGGTGGCTGCCTCTGGGTGCCTCTGGATCAGATGGCTCTGGACCAGGTGGGTGGCTCTGGGTGGCTCTGGACCAGGTGTGCTGATGGGATCCCATGGTGACCTCAGCTGGACTCGTGTCCCTGTGTCCCTGTGCTGATGGGATCCCACAGGCAGTGCCATCAGTGTCACCAGAGTGTCCCTCCCATCCCTGTGTCCCTGGTCCCTCCCAGGCTTTCTCTCTGTGCTGGTGAATCCCTGGCACATTCCACTGGAGCCATCCCAGAGCTGGAAGGGACCCTGGTGCCCCCAGGATTTTCAGGCTCGGGAGCAGGAGCGAGGGAGGGATCTGCTCCTCACCTCGCGTTCCAGGAGCCACCAGGACCTCACTCAGGGCTCTCTTGGCTTCTGCTTTCCATGTTCCAAACCCAAACACGAGGAACAGCCTTGGCTGGGTGTGAATCAGCCCCGGCATTTGTCTCGCTTGAGCCAAACCCAATTCCAGCATCAACAAACCAGGACTTCTGAGCCTGCTTTTGTTACACACACATTTCCTGCTGGCTCAGCTGCTGCACTCTTTCTCTCAGAAGAGCTCATTTCCCTGAGTTTTCCCATCCAGTGGCTCCTGCAGAGCATCCAGGTGTTTGCAACTGCTCTGTTCCTTTGCCCACCAGTGTTTGAACTTGGTGGGAAGGAGCGTGGCAAGTTTGATTTTGGCTGGAATGGGAGCTTTCGGAGCAGCCCTGGCTCCGAGTCCCAGGACCCTCTTTGGCCCAGAACATTCCTCATCACTGGAATATTTCAGATGCTTACCAGATGACCCTCGTGGCTTTTTCCAAATATGCATTGTGTCTCGCCTGGGAAACAGGGAAAGGGGGACCCGAGGCGCTGGAATACGATGCTGGGAGCAGAGATGGAACACAAACTCTCCCGTTACTCATCACAGCAGCTGGGAAGGGACGGCCCAGACGTGTCCAAGAGCACAACTGGGTCCAAGAGGCTCCGTGTGGAATGTAAATATTGTCCCTGCCAGGGAAAAAGCGGTTCCTTGCAGTCCCAGAGCCGGTGAGGGAAGCACTGGCAGGGAGGTGGAGGAATGATCAGTGTGGAAGTGCAGCCTGCAGGGACCTGGGGGAGCTGCTCCAGGGGACATCAGGGATGGGCAGCACCAAAGGCCAGGTTCCCTGAGGTGGCCAGGGGGCTCCAGGGGTGGGGACCCCACCCCAGCGAGCTCTGCCTGCCCTGGGCTCAGCTCTGGGGGCAGCCCCAGCCCAGCAGAGCTCTCCCATCCCATCTCCCAGAGCTTTCCTCCCGGATGAACCGGAGCAAAAAGCAGCTCAGCTGTTCCCCAGCTCCTGCACAGGGAGGGAGAGGCTGCTCCCCACCGGGACTGCCCTGCCAGGGATTCAGAGAATCACCCTGGAATGGGCTGGGAGGGACCCCAGAGCCCCTCCAGTGTCACCCCTGCCATGGCAGGGACACCTCCCACTGTCCCAGGGTCCAGCCTGGCCTTGGGCACTGCCAGGGATCCAGGGGCAGCCCCAGCTGCTCTGGGCACCTGTGCCAGGGCCTGCCCACCCTGCCAGGGAACAATTCCTGCCCCAAAATCCATTCCAAATTGACTTTCTTTTGACTTAAAGCCACGCACAGGGACAAAACCATCCTTGGGCTTCCTCACAAGTTTCTTCCTGTAGTTATTTCCTATTTCCCTGCTATTTATTTACCTTATTCCCAGTTGATGAACCCCAGCACTCCCTCCCTGCTGGGGAGGCTGACCTTCCATGGAGCAGGGGTGGCTCTGGGGGGATGAAATCCCCCGGGAGGTTCCCAGTCAGCTGCACCCCTCGTGCTTGGGATCACAGCAGCACCTCCAGAGGTGTCCCCGAGGTCCCCAGGGCACGGCTGGAGCTGGCAGAGCCTCCTGCAGCCATCCTGTGGAACCTGTGGATCCACACCCTCCCCTCTGCCAGGTGATGTTCCAGCTCTGCAGTCCCTGTTTGTGAGGTCCTGCTGCTCCTCCCCCAGGCACCACCTTCCTCTTGCTGGGCTGGACGTGAACCAGGACGGTGCCACCCGAGACCCCCCGTGTCCTTGTCCCTTCCTGCACCGACCATTTGCATTTTCTGACCCTCAAACCCCTGCAAGAGGGACTGAAGACCTGGGTTCTGCTCAAACTGCTGGAAATGCACTTTTCTGACCCACTGCATTTCCTGGACAAAAATATCCAATCTGAGGTGGGATTCCAGCACTGGCACAGGGTGCCCAGAGCAGCTGGGGCTGCCCCTGGATCCCTGGCAGTGCCCAAGGCCAGGCTGGACACTGGGACAGTGGGAGGTGTCCCTGCCATGGCAGGGGTGACACTGGAGGGGCTCCCAAACCATCCTGGGATTCCATGGAATGCAGCTGCCCATCCTGGCCAGGTGCTGCAGCCCCCTGTCCCCAGAGGTGCAGGTTTGGGTGACACCAGGCTGGGAGTGGTGGCTGTGCCCCTGGAACCCCCCCAGGCTGCAGAAATGCCCTGGGAGAAACTCCTGCAGCTCAGACAGGAAAGGACCAAGTCCTGGGAACACGTCCAGGACAGGCTGGGGGCCACCCCAGGCCTGGCAGGGCCAGTCTGGGACTGGGGACACCTCGGTGACCCGGTGGCAGCCACGTGTCCCTGCGGGCTCAGCCATTCCTGGGCTGGCACAGCTTTCCTGGCGAGGAGGGGACGGGGCTGCCCCCCCTGCCTGGCACCACCGAGGCCACCCTGGAGCTCCCCAGGACACGAGGGACAGGGGGGGACCGTGGCAGGGACAAAGGTGACACCTGGAAAGGCTGAGGGGTCACAGCAAGTGAATAACTCCTGGGCCAGACTCGGGGAAACTGAGGCAGGATCTCCTCCGTGGTGCCTGGGGAGGGGATGAGGGACCCGTGCTGGAATAAAGGAAATTCTCTTTGGACATAAAAACCACGTTTTTACCCCAAGCCCAGGCTGACCCTGGAGGCTGTGGGACGTCCACCCTGGGAGCCCCTCGGAGCTCACGGGGAAGGTCCTGGGGAGCTGCCCTGCCCTGGGAGCTCGGTCTGGGCAGCCCCAGCCCAGCCCAGCCGGGATTCCTGAGCTTTGGGGGTCTGGAGCACTTTCCTGCCTGCCTGGATTTCCAGAGGACTCACTGTGCACGTCCAGGTGTGCAGTCCTGGGGCATTCCCACTGCAGCACTGAGGGATGGGGGCACACCCTTCATGTGCAGGGAAATAAAACGTTCCCCTGACCAAGCTGCTCTTCCCTGTTCGCAGGTTAGGAGAGGCCGCAGGCTGGACAGCAGCTCAGGTAAGGATGGACACACGTCCCACCTCCAGCAGCTCCTGTCACCTCCTGCCCTGTCCTGTTTCTGCACCAGGAGGGTCCCCAGCTGCCCATCCCTCTGCTGTGTTCCAGAGGATGTTTTCCACAGATTATGGACTGGCTTGGGTGGGAGGGACCCCAGA